TCTGAGCAGTCAAGCTGGTTAAAGTGAGCGCTGCTGGAGTTCAGGCTTTCAGTCTCGCCGTGGAGTGGTGGTAGTGCTCTCGCTTCTCACTCGGTAGGTCATAAGTTCTCTTTTTTTTTACTATACTACTTACTTTTACTTTCGGCCAATTTTGACTGCTCACAACTTCCTTGGCAGGTTCATTTTGCAGTTTTAGTTTCCATATTTGTAATCAGCGTTTGAAGCTCTATATATCTGGGTCTCAATTCAAAGTTCCATGGGAAGTTGAATGCCTTTCCTGGTTAGTCGACAGGAAGGCAGGCCATCTAAGGGTGCGGAACGATGAGCGTTCTGTAGCGAACAGTATGCCCCCAGCGGCCTAGTAGGGCCATACCCGCGCTGCTGCACGCCCGCCCCTCTATCTGACTCTGACTGAGCAGAGAAAACGTTGTCGTTGAAGAGGGCAGCAAAGATGAGAGTCGCATCAATGCGGAAACCAGTGGGCAAGAAAGGGGTCCCATTCCTCCGATTCTGGGCTGTTCTCGTGGTTTTTCTTCATTCCTGCACCATTAGTCACCTCTACTTGATTTATAATGGGCTGCCGTTTTATATATCCATCGCTGTTTTAGGTTGCCGAGTGGAGAGAGGAAGGTAAAGCCTCCATCCAGCCTGGAGTACTTTTCATCGACGAAGCTCATTTGCTGGATTTGGAATGCTTTTCTTTCCTGAATCGAGCTATGGAATCCGATCTTAGTCCTTTGCTCATAATGGCAACTAACAAGTGTGTTCATAATTTCTATGGTTGTGCTAACAATTTCTTAAACTATCTGCCAGTCACTGCTAAGTTTTTTGCTTCAGAGAGCGGGGTCTTGTTCGTGGGACTGATGTTATGGCAAATTACTGTCTGCCACCCGACATTGTTGATCGCCTCATCGGTATTCCAACAAAGCCATATACGCCTGATGAAATTGGACGCATTCTCAGTCTTAGGGCGGATGAGGAAGGTGTGAGGTTGGTGTTGCCGGGTATGGGTTGCGTGGAACTAGGCACACATCCCATGACGTTTCTTTTCAGGATGGAGGCTAGTGCGCTCACTTTGTTGAAAATGTTAGTGGCAGAGACATCAATGCGGTATGCAATGCAGATCATCGCCCTAGCAGATTGCCTGAGGGAACGCAAGAAGAAGCCAATGGTGCGTGTCATGGCGATTTATTAGCATTTGATTGAAATATGAAACTTTTTCAGGTAAGTAAAGAGGACGTCGGCGAGGCGTACAAGATGTTCTACGACACCAAGAGGAGCGAGCAATACCTGAAACAGAACTCGAGCAAGTTCCTGATGTGAGGAGTGATGTTCCCAGTGCGAGTTTGGTTGCTATTGATACTCATTATTACGTTGTTCTGTTAGCTTGTTATTGTTATGATGCCTTCCCGATGTATGAAGAAGTGATGCCCGACTATCTTATAGCTTTACTTTCAACAAAAACAACATTTACATGAAAAACAATTCACAGGGAAACAACATAAACAACAGAAATGTTTGCAAAAACAAGTGAAAAACCTATCCAAAACAACCACCTGCATCATATGCAGAACTGACAGTCTCTTCTTTAGATATTTCTAGGAAAGTTATTTCTCTAGAGCTTTGTTAGCCTGAGCGGTTCGAGCACGAATGCGTAAAGCATGGTTAGCGAGTCTGAGGCGCAGCAGCTCATTTTTCATTCCAGTGTACTGGTCCTTCATTGAAACCCTGTAAACTTTTGCTCCAAAACGTTTTCACTGCAAATGAGAAGAAACTGACATGAGAGAGCGTCGAGTTTCGTGAAGTAATCCCTCGTATCCGGTCGCATCTAGTGCAGTAGAGAGATGTTCAATTTCAGCTCTCATTCCAGAGGATTTCGAACTCATCAGAGCTACTATAAATAATCATTCTATCTACAATACGGTTTCAAAACCAACTAGTAATTTTTCCATGGTCAAATATGTCGATATGTCCTAGTTGCAGGCCTAGTAACACGCGTGCCATCAGATTGCATCACGAGCTTCAAGTAACAATCTCAGAGACCGTGTCGAACATTTTGCGGGTAGGAAGTAGCTTACGGGCATCACAGATCGCCGCTCTAAAGTGCGCAACGGTGGTGCTACGGCCTTACAGAGTGAGCTAATGACAGCTAATGTGATTTGAAGGACGAGATATCTCGTCATACGCAACGTGGATTTCGACGCAAGCGCTGATTCAAATACGCGTGGACTGGTGGAATCATGGAGCAAGTTCGGACAACTCGTCCAGACACGCCCTCTCCTCGTTGAGGGAGTCCTTGTTGAGACAACCTCGGCGGCTTGCTTTGATTCTTTTTTTTTCATTTTCAGTCAAGTACGCTTGACTTATTTTCAGTCACTTTTTCATCATCAATCCCTATAACCCCACCAATTTGATCTGGGTTTGTTCCTTTGGAGAAAAACAGGTGACAGTAGGTGGTCGTGCGTACGCAGAAACCAATGTTAACTACTAACACGTTAATTGCCAGTTGCCGACACTCGTTAGCAACACTTTGGAAACTGTAATGGTAAAAGGCTGTAGAGATGAAAATTGTTTCGATTCCAGACTGCACAGTTGTTTATTTGAAACCTTTCTATTATTTGACATTATCCAGCCAGAACAGAAACTCACCGCCAAATGAAACTTTGATTTTGGTCAGAATGAATAAGCCAACAAAAAATTTGGGGTTTCATCTGGAACTGCTGCGACTAGCTGTGGTGCGAAAGTGTATCGCCGGGAGTGATGCAGTTTTTCACAGGAAAAGGAAGCATCGGGCTGGAAGTGAAAGCGGAGGAGAAATGGTCCGCGCAACCCGGGATTTGCTTCCGCTACAAAGCAATGGAATTCAGATAGGTGGCAGCAATTGTCGCACTACATGCCCTTCCTTTATACTTTCTGGAAACGTTCAAACAAATTTGGATAGAATCCAATTTTTCTCGAGTTATTCCAGAAGTTATTACGGAGCCGAGTAAATCAAAGCATTTTGAAATGATCTGATCAAATGCTGATAAAATGCCTTTTTTAGGTTTTTATAGTTCCGGAAAGAACAAATCTAAAATAATTTCCAAAGTGAACATACCAAATAGCCGCATAGAGAATACAGAGCTTATTGTAAATTCGACTCAGAGCGCGAGCAGTAAACCTTTACTTATCAACTACGTGAAAGCGAGCACGACCATGTAAGAGTGGTGTTATAGCTCCTTTGGTTAAATAAATTGAGTGTGATGGTTAAAAGCACCGACAAATATTCCCACACAAGGTTTGTCTTCACTTTATAGTAGCGAACAGCTCACCTTGCTCTTCGAGCATGAGACGTTCGTTCGTTAAGGCATCATTTTGTGAGTCATGCGATACACTTTGCTGAAAGCAAGCACAAATTTGGTCATAAGTCATTCAGTAGAACGATTTCTATTTGCAGAATTGCATCTGTTGCTGAACTTGGCAACAACATGGGCAGGACCAGAGCGATAGTACGCGTACCTCTGGGAGAAAACGCTACTTAGATCCCTGTTCTCGAAACTTGCAAGTTTCAGCGGTAAAAGAATCTACTAATGTAGATTACATCTTTCCCTTATAAACAAAATAATCAATCAAAATGGTTGCTCACCATTTCGGCAAATTTCTGCAACATGTTTTGATACAATTCCTTCATGTTCAGACCTTTTTCCTCATCCAGTCCAGCTCTACGAAGAGCCAGCGCATTCTTCTCAAGATTATCAACTTTGGCTTGTTCGCGTCTTTCAGCTTTCAGAGCTCTAAAACAGCACAACATTTTGACGGTACACATGAGATGGAAACGAAAATTGGGGTCTATTCCAGTTAGGGGGCATCATGATGCAGTTTTCCAGAAAGCTAGGGTAACTCCGAGCCAGGGGGAGTGTAGCCAGTCTAGGGGGTGGGGGTGAGGGCAGTCACTTGACATGCGTGAAAAGCTGGAATGTTCGAGTTCACACTAGTTCGCCGAGAAACTGCATCATGATGCCCCCTAACTGGAATAGACCGAAAATTGTATTGAAATGCACCAGCCTGATTAGTAATGCGAATGCGTTCTCAGTAGTGGACCACTCACACCTGAGGGCTCCCCCACTTTCTTCACGATTTGGGGCGCGGCCGATTGATAGTGCCCTCGAACTGTGCTGGAGAGTTTTCAAACAGTTCGCGGGCACTACCAACTCGTCCGCGCTCGCCGCGGCCGCGCCTCAAATCGTGAAGAAAGTGGGGGAGCCACACTTAAGACATAAAATATTGGTTTTTATAATTAGCACAATTGTGCACTGATCGTAAGATCAATTTTCTTATTGCTGTTGGAACTTAAAACAAGACAAAAGAACAGGACCTGCTCCAAAACTTATAAGGTAACCAAGCTTGAAATTTTTAGCGGAGAGGAGTCCAAATAATATCGAGACTGCAGCCCAGACAGCTACTCTGGTTGGAGCTGACGATTCTCTTGCTCTCT